TCACAGCAGCAGAGACACACTGTTATCTACCGGGTCGTAACAAGTGCATCATAAAAGCTTTGATTATGAATGACAATATCAACTCAGGGAACCAAAGTGCTAAATTCAAGCAAACATGCAGAGTGTCTGTCTTTCTGCTGAGACTGAACACAAATGCAACCACTAATGGATCAATAATCTCAATAAAGAGTTGTGTGGGTGGATGCATTTAAATGTTTTTCATCTTGTTTCCTGTATTTTTCACTTCTCATTTGGTCATATTTTTTATTTTCTTGCATTCATACAATCGTATCAACATGCTTTTGCTATTCTGTGTGAACAGTGTGAACATTCATAAACAATTTGTCGTGAAAAAAAGCATTATATTACAGCTGTGAGGTATATATGTATTAACAAAAATCTTTAATTTGTTCAATATAAACTGCACTAATGAAGGTTTGTAACTTTAATAATACTTCTTGGTTAAGCTGCCAATTATTATCAAGATTAATTATTAGTTTGGTCTACAAAATACAAAGTACTGTGCTATTTTTCGGAGTCGATGTCCATAAATGATTTGTGTTGTCTGACCAACAGTCCAAAAAATAAAGATATTCAAGTTTATAATGAAGAATAAAAGCATGGAAAATTTGAGTTGTCTCCCTCAATATATCATCGTAAACATAACTATATGATTTAAAATAATATAATAATATGTACTAGAAGTTCCTTAACAGTGGTTTGGTCCGCTGGCCTACCATACCCCAGCGGTTGGGGCGTGTTTAGGGCCTGGTTATTGGGCTGATAGCCACAGGCCCTTCAATATGAATATGAATTATGAGCTCATACTGCCACTGCTACACCCGCACCCTTACTTACACATACACAGTGTTGCCAACTTTCCAGACCCTCTTAGCGACTTCATTTCTTAAAGCCAACTAAAAAGTGAGAAATCAACACAAATATATTATATTGTAGTTCATTCACCATCATGCTGCTCAGGGTAATTTCAGGCAGCAGCACAGCGTGTCTCCCTCTCCTCTTGCACCGTGCGCAGACATGCAGGCAGGCTTGAGAGTGAGTTACTATGGTTACGAGTCACGCTCTGTGTCTCTGTTGCACTGAAACGTTCTTACAGCTACACAGGAAGGAGATCAAGGTAGAGAACATAGTTGCAATAGATGTGGGGACAAGGAAGGTGGCCTTGCTCATCTCCAACAGTGAAATATCCGCCCATGGATGAAACCATCAAATGTGTTGTGTTTGTGCTTGAAGAATAACTTAAAAGGCCCTGTAAACATACTTTCTCAATCACTTTCTTACTGCATTAACACAAAATATGCTGCTGAAGTTTTTCTGTATTTTTGTCTCTACTTTCCTCACTGGTTTGAGGTGGGTGGGTTTAAGACAGTTTTTATATGGGTAGCCAGGTTGCTTACATTGCCTATCAATGAATGAAGACTCCCAATCAAACTTACGGTACTTTCTGCTTATTTAGTCCCTAAATTTTAATTTTATACAGAAATATGTAAGACTTAAGCTAAGTTTTCACAGGCTTCACATGATTTATTATCAATTAAGTTTTCTAATCAGCAACATTTGATTTGATTAAGTGACTAAAAGCAACATGTGGCAGCTCACCACCAGCAACCAGTGGTAGAAAGTAAAGTAAAGTACATGTTCTTAAGTATACAGTTTTTAGGTGCTTGTACTTAGTACTTTTTAGTCCTCTACATTCATTTGATAGATTTAATTCCTTAGATTCAGTCTTAATACAAAATATTATCAACAAATAAAATTTAATTTATTATTAGAGATTAAGCTACACAGCAGTATATAAAGTCATTAAAATGACCTTAAAAATATGTTTACATTAATCTATCAATGATTATTATCATGTTATAGAATATACATGAATCATTTCTACACTGTGGTATTGATACTTTTACTTAAGTTAATGCTCTGAGTATTTCTTCCCCTACTGCCAGCAGCTGAGCTTTTGTTTTTATGAAATATCACCAACAGAATGTACTCAAGATTACAACATTGTTTAATGCCTGTGTGAGATGCAGTTTAATGATTTGTCTAATTAAACAGTACCCTATGCATCAAAGTGAAAGAATCTGCAAGGAATACAATGCAATACATACGTTTAATGTAGTTATTAGAGTACTGGCAAATATAATGTTTCCCATGGGCTGGTTTTACTTGTATGAATGAAGACACGTGAACCAAATATACAGTGGAAAGGTGCCAGATGAGGTGTTAACACTAATAAGAGTAATTGAGACTACTGGGACAGAGTAATATGGGAAAGGGATCAATTAACTAATTATTTGTTTAAAAACAGAGTCATTAGTGAGATTAGAGTTACATCAGTGTGTGACATCAAAGTGTGACATCAGCCCCAGAGCCACGGAAAGAGAAATCTCTAGAGGCTGCAACATCATCATAAACAACATGCTGAAGGTGGTAGAGGGTGGGTGGACTGGGTGGAGCTTCTGTTGATAATAGCAGACATATAAAACTATAATTACATCTATCTTAATCTGAATCATTATGGCACTGCCTATGGTGCAAATTGTGTCAGGTAAGCTCAATAAAGAGTCAAAGTACAAACTTTCTTTATTGACAGCAGTAAAAGGGATTATGGGAGAGGAGACACAGGTATAATCAGAAACTCGCTCACTCTGCTATCATTACTTTTTAATGACATTTACACTCAGTGAGAGGAATTGCAAAACATCCAGTTTATGTTAGGTAACTGTCAGATTGTGATAAGGGCCTCAGGGAATACAAAACATACATGTTTACAATATTCAAGCAAGTGTAAACTAACTTGAAGTTGAAGAATATCTATTATATTTAATATATACCTAGTAGTGTGTGTGCTGATACTTGAGAGTGGCTAATTCAGCCTATTTACGCACATAATATCAATTAAAATTCAATTCAGGTGTATACTTTTTTAAAAGCAGACTCAGGTTAACAGTGCAAAGGTCACTCAGCAGCTCAGATGTGATATATATATATATTAGTGTGAGAATAAGTGTAAACACTTTAAACATCATCAATCATCACCAAAATCACTATGTATGGGCTTTTAAAGTCACATTTTACAATTTAAAACAGTTCAGATGATATCATTTGGCATTCCTAGCCCTGTAGGGAAATTTTAAGTAGACCCTTAAGGACAACATAACCAAACTATGTCAGTGTATACACATCTATATTACGGTGTCACTGAAAACATCACAGCAAATATTTCTATGCCTGTGTTACTGAACACTGAGAGCTCATTAATCAGACAAACTGAGCACAGGAACTGGGTTTCCCCCATAGATTTATCCTCCAAACATCTTTTATAAACAACAACATCCGTCATGCTACGTGAGACAAAATATATTAATTTATCTGTGAATCCCAGCTTCGATCCCAAATGCATTTTTAACCATGCGACATGCAGGGAATATGGAAGTGGTAGCAGTGCTGAACTGTGATGTAAACATGATGTATGGTATCATTTAAAGAGTAGGTGTCTTTCTCGTTCTGTAACATATTAGATTTACCTGTCACATTCCCAAACTGCTCCTCTGCTAATACTGTTATATTAAAGGGAGTGGAATCTTGTGGTGACTGAGTGTGAACAATGTATTCAGTATTCAGTGTCCATAATCCAACAGTCCAGCTCTGAGTACACAGCATTTCCCCTCAAGAATGCAGCTACAGTGCCCTATTGTCCAGGGACACAAGCTGAATGACAACTACTTTGGTAATTTAAAGGACAATACCAGTGTTGTTTTTTTAAACATTCTTTATCCCATGTCATTACAAATCCACAGTGACGTCACAACTAACATTTTGCAAACAATGCTACTGTATTTGAGAAGTCTACCATTGCATAAATGAATTTTGGGAAATGATCCCTTTTGCTGTCTTGACCAGAGTTAGACAAGAAGATCGATACTACTCTCATGTCTGTACGGTAACTTTAGGCTAGCAGCCAGTAAGCAGCCAGTTAGCTTAGCTTAGCATAAATACTGGAAACAGGTGAATTAGCTAGCCTGGCTCACTTATTGACACGTGTATCATTTTTTAAGTCCATAAAAAAGACTGAGGTATAACTCAGGGCAAGAAATAGGCTGGCACATAACTCCTGTAAAAAAGCTAATCGTCATTTTCAAACTTTGGATTAAACAAACAAAATGTGGTAAACTACTTAGCTTTTAGCAGCACTGTCAGGATGATTTTGTTGGCTCTGGCTAAAGGTTCATGTTTATTCCTTCCAGGAGTCCTAAGAGTGCTGTGGATGAGATTATATTTGCTTCTCGGCTTGCATGTCAACAGATCCATCTTCATGAAAAATGGGCAGTCTCTTTCCACTGATGAAGACCATTTTACATGGCTGAAAGCACCAGCAAAACCCATACAAACATGAATGAAAACCAAAGGCTGCCTGGAGTTGTAGAAGGAGTACTTCAACAAAACTGCATACCCAACCAAAACGGTCAAAAGTCTGATATATGTTACAAAGAATACATGATTTAAGGTGCAACAACTAGTATGGTCCAGTAGCTCTGGACAAAAGGTTTCCAGTCTTTTTTTTCTACTACTACTACTCTTTGTAAGCATGCAGCTCAAGTTGTCACTGTCAAATGGTCCTTTACAACTCGTTTTCATTCCAGGCACAAACAGGGCGACAGAGAAAAGATTGAGGACCAGAAAGGGGCTCAGTTGAGTGACTGCCATGGGCAGCAATACAAGCAGCCCACTCTTTTTTCCCCCTCCTGCAGAACAATGTGACAGTGTTTAACTGTGCCAGATTCACTGAGGGAAGTTGCCCTCCGGTTATTTATGAGTGTATCCTCGAGGTCGTGCGGCAATCGCCCTACATTTGACACGGTCTTTAAATGGCCACATCAGCAGACAGATAATCAGTGAGATAAAGAAGAGCATCTTCCATGCCAGCTCAGGGAGGGTGGGGTGGGGTGGCAGGGGTTGATAGGGTGAAGGGAGGGGTGTATATAAATGGAGGCCAGTGGGTATTCACAATCCCACGGTCTGCTAGTGCTTCATCACCAGCTGCCTTTAACCCAGTGAGCCTGCAGCCATGGCGTTCAACGGAACTTGGAAGGTCGACCGCAACGACAACTATGATAAGTTCATGGAGAAAATGGGTGAGTGTATTAGAGGCTGTATGTGTAGATCACCAAAGCTCATTCTGTTTGTGCCACGTCTGGCCTTATAATCAAGTTTATGAGGGCAATGTGTGTGACTGTGTCATGTGTTTCCATACAGTTTGACATTGCAGTATTACTCAGTGCAGTGAGGTGTTGATAAGTTTGAAGTGTTTATTGTGCTACCTATAATAATAGTAGCAGCTAAATTAAGATATATGGACTCATGGACATAGTCTTATATTTGGAAAGCAGACAAGTGCAAACTTCAAATAAAAGCAGAGCAGAGTTAAAGATAAAATTGTCACCTCCAAATTAATTCTCAATAAAGGATCTTCATTCCGTCCTATAATAGCAACAATCCAGCTCCTGAACTTTTTTGTCTCTTTCACAAATAAGGCATTAACGTCGTGAAGCGCAAGCTGGCAGAGCACGACAACCTGAAGGTCACCATCGAGCAGACCGGGGACAAGTTTCACATCAAAGAGTCCAGCGCCTTCCGCACCAAAGACATTGACTTCACCTTGGGCGTCCCATTCGACTACAGCCTGGCTGATGGCACCGAAGTCTCAGTGAGTTGTTTAAACCAACAGCAGCTGGTCCAAAGTGCCGTTTCATAATTTCAGTGCAACAGGAAATGGTTTGCTTGAGGAAAACTTGATTTATTTTTAAGATTGATGGATTCATCGCTAATGGGGAAAGTGCAAACCAAGCCAACTAAACTAAAGCCAACGCTGGAATAAATGGAAAAGTTCCAGTGAATAATTACTCGTGGATGTGTAGTTGCTGGAATGAGGGTTAACTCAACTTGGAAAAACCCACGAAAAAGAAATGACAAAATCACCAATTGTATATTTTTAACCAGGGTACTTGGGAGATGGAGGGTGACATGCTGAAAGGCAAATTCACCAGGAAAGACAACAGCAAGGTCCTGACCACCACTAGAGCTCTGGTGGGAGGAGAACTTGTACAGGTCAGTAGGTCCAGAAGCATTTAATCAATAATATGCAATATATGTTAATTTCTTTTATTTCAATAAATGTATCCATAAACGTAAGACACCTCTATCTTTTCCCCGCAGAGTTACAACTACGAGGGAGTGGATGCCAAGCGGATTTTCAAGAAGCAATAACCTGGAGTCCGAAGTTCATATTTTTATTTTTATATAGATGACATGATATAGATTTGTGTTTTTTTTCTAACAATAAGTGTATTCTGATGAGATTCTACTATATATACCTCAAAAGTGTTTTAAGAGAGGAAAACTGTAGTTGATCACAGCATATATTTAGTGTGATGGAGGGTGACAACTTAAGTATAATAGGAAAACAACACAAGAAGCTAATGTAAAGTACAAGCAAACTGAGGGAGAACATACTTCACCATGTGAGTCTAATGTGCCTTAAAAAGCATCTTAACAACCAGTATCCCAGAAATGGCCAAAGACTCTAGTATTATCTAAGCACGCAGATATTTGGGGTTTTTCTTTATCTCGATTTTGAGATATTTGTCTCTGAGATTTAGATTTCCACCCTAAATCAAAAGGGGAGCAGGAAATTTCATTGGTGTTTCTCCCTACGTTGAAAAATGTCATTTAAAAGATTCAACAGCAGTTTGTCTCTCCAGGAACAATGCCCCAGTTACTCATGATAATCCACTGAACACGTCTGCAGTTTTCAAGGGAACTACTTCATTGGTACAATGTTGTTCCAACGAAAACTGTTCACATGCTTATGGTTTATCTAAAGTAACTGGTGCATTGTTTCTAGAAATACGTGCTACTGTTAAATTTCTCAAATGCCGTTTTCAACGCTGTGAGCAACACAAACGGAAATTCTTCCTCCTCCATTGTATAGGCGTGGAAGCAGAAGACTTGGGGATGAATCTCTGAAAGTCTGGACAAAGGATACCAAAAATATCAGCTTGATTAGATACAACTAGAATTAGGTGAGACACTGTTTTGTTGTAATTTGGGCATTTTGAGATGGACCACAGCTTACCTACCCTTGACTTCACTGTACTGTTAACTGCCTCAACACTAGACTCCATCATGGTGATGGAAAGCAGCCTAAAGCATCACAATGATCCCAGAATGAAATATATTAGATGTTGTCTTTAGACAGTTAGGAAATAAGTTAATTTGCACTAATGGTTCTTATACACTATATAGTCTGTCACAATAAAGCCATTTTTGTGTGTCACTTGAGTCTGATATTGCTGTTATTTTTATCACATTTGAGTACAACGTGCATTATTAAATGTGAGTGGAGTTTGACAAATGAATTATGAAAGAAACACTGTTGTTCTAAAGTCTACAAACTTGCAAGTCATGTTGCCTCGAGGTCAGTTATGTCAGCTGTTATCAAGTCATCACGATTGAGAACAAACATTTTGCCGATAACATTTTCAAGTTCACACTCGCTGACTAAGGGAAATATTGTGAGGATATGTCACATTACTAAATACATTTCAGGCCCTGCTTCAAAGCCTCTCCTATACAGCATGACTGCTGCTTGATCACATGATGACAGCGGGGTCTTGTGCTGTCATGTGCTGGCCTTTAGGTGCTATCCTCAGTAGTAGGTCTGAACAAGCTAGAGAGAAAAACACACCAGGGAAATGAGGATTTCTCACATGATGCTGTTGTTGAAGTGCTGTGGGCATTCATTCAGTGTAGAAATTGAAAAGAAATAAAGAGTGCACTGAGCTTCTCTGACCACAAGAGGACGCCCTGTGCCAACTTTTACTTAAGAGTTGGACTAGATACTAGATATAGTATGAAAGCTGGAATTTTAGATTACGGTAAAAAAAAACATAAAGATACTGCGGAGAGACATGGTTGCATCTTGAGATAGATACCTAACTGCTCTAATGGGTCCTCACTGAGTGCTTGCCCCTCCATGGTTCTACATTTGAACCTGCTTATGTTCCTTATGTGCTTTTTTATCCTATTATACTGAGTGCTTATGTTCATTCTATGTTTTACACATGGACAATGTAGAGCCGATTATCATATAGATATAACCAAGTTCACCAGGGATCATCTCTCATGCTGTTTATATGGGTTGATCAGGAGTACGGAAGCCAATTACCTCCAGGAAGATAAAAAAAATCATCAACAATACATCAAAATTATGACTTAATGAGGCATAATTATGAGATAAAAAGTAAACAATGTAGCATTTTATTTTTGAATCATGACTAACTTTTCATCTATTCTTTTCTTTTCCTGGCAGAAATATGTTTCCATACAATAGGGTTGAGATCTATCACAGTATGTATGAGAATATTTCTATTATCAATATAAATAAAAAAGGAGAGAACTGGTTTTCAGTGCAATGCACTGGTATCAGACAAATACCTTCAAAATATTTTACAAAATCAATCATTAATCTAGACAACAGAATTTTGTGCTATGATCATATCATCACAATGAGATTCCAGTATAAGATGATAAATGCCAATATTGAACCACCTACCATACTGTGTGTCTTTTTGGCCAAATTAAAAAAAGCCATTGCCAAATTTAAAATACACCAGAAAATCCCATCCAGGCACAACTGATAACTAATAAACAGTAGAGCTTTTTTATCAACAGGCACCCATCCAAACCTGGACAGCCTAATGTTATCAATCGATCACAGCCCCCCACTGAGCCCTGAGTGGCACCCTCTTTCATGGGGGTATAAACCTGCTGCTCACAGGGCTAATCTGGCAGAGGCACGGCTGCTTTGAACACCAGTTTGCCCTGAACCCACCATGGGGAGTGAAGTCCTCTGAGACCCCTCAGATGCAGTGAGGCTCAAGGACTGTGAGCCTGCACAGATTTTAGTGCAGGGTGAAAGATGGGTCGGTGGGCCTCCTTTCTTTGTGTTTGGATGTGACTTTCATGCTTTCCATTCTTAAATTAGCAATACTTTTAATAAGACTGTAGTTGTGTCTTACAGTTAGTACTTTTTGTTTTGGCCTATATCCTTTCAGCCCATTTTTACACAATCCACATCTTTTGCCTGGGTCCTCTTCTCTACTGTATAAAAATACCCTAATAATGTGTACACTCAGTGAGAAATGATAATCGGGATGTATGTCGGGACTATTTCAGAAACTTTTAATTAGTTATATGTGATCGGCATTAAATCTGAAGCCTTATTTTAGATTTAAAGCCCCCACCGGTATGAAATAGGTCAAATGAACTCCACCTTGGCCAGCTACACCATGGAGTACTGCTTCTACATCATTAATACATCAATAAAAATGATCCAATATTATAATAATGTAATACTTAAAGGGCCATTCAGCATAATGAGTACATTTTATTTTACTAATGTCTTTACTTGTAGTGGAGTATTTTTATAGTATGGCATGACAACTTTTACTCAAGTATTTGAATACCTTCTCCACCACTGTATTTAAATGTTACACTTAAAGGATATGAAGTTAATCAAATAGTTTATTAATTACTATAATAAACCAACAGTATATATATTTCATTTTTAAATGCAAGATCTCTACTTGCATTTTTACATTGTGGTATTCAGTGGGTTACTACCGATGTAAAGCTTCTGAATACTTCTTCTAGCACTCACTATGGGAACAGTGTCATGTACTGTAGATGCACGCTGTAATGTATTTTCATAACCATTGGGTGGCGCTGTTGAGCTCTTTATTTTCTGAAAGAAAAGGCCTGGCTTGTTCTATGATGTCATCCCCAGTCAAGTTATCATATGACACACACCCTATTTGTACAGACAGACACACACACCTATATAATTATTGGATCTCAGCTCAAATTATTAAAATAATATAACTCTGCACTTATCTGGAATCAAAGAGTGGACTGTAGCAACATGGAATTAGTGGGAAACAGGAAAGTAGTGGGAGAGTTAGCCTTCAGTGTTTTGATTGCTGTGAGACTGAGGGAGCAGGGGCCCACCCAAGGGAGATGGAAGCTGTGGATGAGAGATGAGGAGGAGGAGAAAGAGAAAGCATGAGAGGTGGACAGAGAAAAGACTGAGAGTGAGGACAGTGCAGGGAAAAAAGCACTCCTCGCCCTCCACCCTTCACCCCCTGCTGTGAAATCAAATTCACTGACTCACTCTGAAGTCGTCAGCTTATCTAGAAGAGTAACGATCACAAAAGACACCAACAGCGCAGTGGGGAGTGTCAGGGCTTTCAGTTGGGTAATCTTTCCAAGAAGACACAACCCCCTTTTGGCCAATCACTGTTTAGACAATGACTGTGCAGACCTTTGCAGAGACATATGCAGGCTGCTGAATGATGAGTCACCAGTTAGTCAGTGCAGAATACTGTATGTATGAGTCTTTTCACATGCCTCAAGAGTCATGTCACCGCACATGCTAAGATGTGACTTTTATCCGCCTAGTGAATTTGGAAGTGTTGTTATGATCACAAGTATGACGATGATTTCACAATTACACATCAGTTTGGGAAGAAATGTGTCCAGACTGTTTACTTTCTCTTTTGCAGCATTAATAATGCATGCATCAGCCACGGGCAAAACAGCCAGAGCGTGGAAGTAAAATGCTTCTTAACAAGGTAAGGCTCTTTATAAGTGCTTAGGGAAATCCAAACCTGGTGGAAGATAAAAAAAATTGAGGACACAAGATGATTAACAGGTTGGGAGATAAACATATTTCTTGTTTTTTTGTTTTTTCTTGGTCTTTTTATAGGAGAGCTTTTATTAGACCGCAGAGAGTGGCGAGTGGCAGGATGTGGGGGGTGACTTCTGCAATGACATGGTCACTGTACTAAAACTGAGCCATCAGGAGATCCCAACATATTATATTTCTTCTGTAAGCTGGTTCAACAAAATAAAATATCTCAACAACTATTGGATGGATTGGGATGACATTTTGTATAGACATTCATAGGGCTATGTATTGCTTACCAGGAGCGCAACCCATACCTTGACTTCAATACTGGTTCATTAATTTTTTCCGATACCAATTTAACTAAATTAATTTAAACAAAAGAAAATTACATTACACATTACGTGCAATAACTCACTTTAAAAGAGGAAGCTGTGCAAAGACCTGGGAGATGAAACTAATGGAATAATAGTACAGAATTGACAATAAAAAAAATATATAAATAATTACATTAATAACAAACAGTATGGCAGCAATTCGTCATTGTATCGTCCAGTCTGCCTAATCCAAAGATGAAGTAGGGAATGACAGTGTGGCAATGTTTGTGGTACTGCATGCCTGCAAAATGAATGATATTCCCATCAGCCTCAGCTGTGCTTTGTGTTTAGCAGGCTACTAATTAACCAAATGTTAACATGCAAACATGCTAAACTAAAATGGTGACCATGGTTAACATTAGGATGGTAAACATCGGTATGCTAGCACTGTCATTGTGAGCATGTTAGCATGTTGGCATTAGCATCATAGACTAGATAATTAAAAATGGACATATTCTTTGTGACGTCAAGCATAGGTTTCAAAGCGTGGTCAGCTTTGCCCGTCGCCATCTTGGCGGTTCTAACTCTGATAAACCAAAAATGGGCAAAGATGTGAAGCGTGGCGGGCTGAATGAAAACCTGGTTACTGAAACCAGCTGCCTGTGGCGGCACCCACCTCTCACTCAAAGCAACCATTAATTATACTTAACTTTAAGCCTTCATATGATTTAAACTGGTGAGTTGTATAGAAATATTCAGTACAGTTGTCATGAAGAGGGGATTTAGCTATAGAGACCAAAACAGTTTTTTGTACCAAGCTGTGAAAATGTTTATTTCTGCTCTAAAGTTGGGCATTTTAATATGAGCCCACACGGATATTGATTCACTTCTGTAGCCAGTCTAAAGTAGCTGTTCGAGGAGCTGCAGTTTTTGTTACTTCTGTGTTGACTTCTTTTGCCAACCAGGGAGGTTGCTACTTGATTAGCATTCAGTTCATAGCACAGCTGTACAGCCTCACAGAACCACTAGCATAGTTGTCAACATGTTGTTTTCTGACTATTCTCTAGGTTCATTAGGAGAGTGAGAGTAATGAGTGCAAATGAAATGGGGAAATCAACCATTGGTTGAACTGCTCACAGTTCTTAAACATATTACATAAACCACTGACGATGGGCAGATATTTGTTTATTTTAGGGTCAAAAGTCAAAAAGGTTTGGGAACTAGAGCGTTAAATGGATCATGGACACACTGTGAATCCAAAGACTCTTCAGGCACTGTCTGTAACCGTAGCATACCATGGTTGCCAAAGCAGTGGTCAATGTTTTACTACAGTTAGCCAAGGAACACAGTCGATAGGGAAATGAATACAAAATACAGGCCCTGATGCCTGAGTAATGGATAAAATTCCAAAATAAAAAAACCAAAGTATAAGGTTTTTAATTTTACTGCTTTTGACCGTTCAGGGCAGAGAAAATTGAGACATGTCAACAAAGACCTTTGTGTGGCATGCTGCAGCTGTATGAGGATGAGTGGAAGGGGACAGAAACACCTCTTTAATGGACTTGTCAAAGGGAGTAACACCATTACAAAGTGTTGCCAGTTGGGCGTATGCATATGCATGCACGCACCCAGATGAAAATGTCCCCTTACCCCCACACAGGCACACGCAAGCACTTTTATCCCCCACTTTACTGCTCTGACACCCTACGTGTAACCCCTCCAGGCATGGACAAGTGTGCGTGTCATGTGAGGAGCTGGTGTGCGCCACCTGGTGCGACTGAGCAGACAGAAGAGAGTGGAGACAGTGGAGAGAGAAACTAATTTGGCTGCGGCCTCTGTCTCAGGAGTAGCCAGCCCATGGGTTAGGTGGTCTATTCTTATAGAGGGCAGAGAGAGGTCTCCAGCTCCCCCGGTACACAAACCACTTTATAGGATCCCACATCATGTTTTGATGGCCCCCTAGGATTGTGGGGGAGGTGTTATCCAGTGACAAGTGAGAGAGGAAGAGGAAATTGAGCTCTACGCAGGTGGATTTCTTTTAGGTTCAAAGAGCAGTTCAGTCTAGTCATTCTCTCCAAATATGGAGTCCCAGAGCTGACAAAAGGTGCTAATCAGTTGGTGGAAAAAAATTAGCTTGTAAAATAAATACAATCTAAACTAAAACTTTTTTGTCCTCCTTACTAGCTTTTTTTTTCCAATTTAGCCCCTTATTTCCTAGGAGGGTAATTTAGCTATTCGCTATTATCACCTAGCAGTATTTTGCAATTTTCCACACATTTCCAAGTTTTCTTAATATGATAATGAGATGGGTGTCTATGAATGTCTACGACAACATTTGGTCCATGGTGTATGGGTGTTTGTTTGCCACATTAATGGAGCAATTACGCATGAAAACATCCATTGAAGTGTTTAGCTACCTAAACACTGGCTAAAGACACTGATCACAAGCCTTTTACTGAGCTTACAATACAAAGCTTTATAGTACCGGTATTTCTTCTTACTCTCCATTTTGAGTGTTTATCTAGCAGATTTGATGATGTTATCTTATTTTTACATTTTTGTCCGTTTTGGGGCTCCGTACTACAAACGTGCTTGCTTTGATGAAAGAAATACATGAAGTAGAACGACAATTCAGAAAAAAGAAATAAATGTAACCATGACAGCAGGGAGGATATCAATCTTTAATGGCAGACAGCCTGAAATGTCTTCATCTAACATTTTCATAAAAACTTCTCATTTTGATCACCTTTTTTTTGGTTTCAAACAAACAAACCTCTGCAATTCACTGAAATACAGTTTCTCCTCACAGCGGCTAAAGTACATAAATATCAACAGTACTGTATGCATTAGGAAAAAGAAAGAAAAAAAAAAAGAACACACACATGCCATGAACATGCACAGAACACACAGATACGCACATGGTATACTGAAACAAGAAAGGAATATTTGTCATTGACAAAGGGAGGGATCATTATATTAATTTCCAGGAACTTCTGTACCGTACTGCTGGCAAAACACGAAAAGATCCATTCGTTCAAAGAGCATGTTTTTCTCTGGATTTCACAGTGAATTATGTAGGTAAAACAGTATTCATATATCAGATACAAACACAAAAAGAAGCTCTAGAAACTTACCAAATGAATATACAATTAAACTTACAATAATACTTACAATGAATTATATGATGGGCATCTTCTATGAACTTTAAAAACATAATACCCATAAAAACACACACGCACACCCGCACACACACACCTTATAAATACTTGTTCTAATAAATTTGGTGCCACACTTGGCTTAAAAAATGTCTGTAAAAGCAAAAACTGCCTCAGAAAATCCGTTGATATTATGTGCATATTATTATTATTATTCATTACAAACACTGACTATATGATTCAACCACTCCAATATGATTGTACACACCTGGGCTAAACATTATAGGGAAGATTGTTTACAGTATTTCAGTTTTTTGACTGTCACATCACTGTGAAATGTGACTTAGCCTTATCAGAAAAGTACAAGAATTTACTGTCTGTGTTTTTGTAAGAACGCGACATAAATGAGAATTTTGGCGTCAAAATGTCACAAAAATATGATCACTCGATGATATGTCAGACAGCAAAGATGTTATTGCAGGCCAAGAATACACAAGATTACAAAAGATTTTTTTTTTTTTCTTTTACACTCCAATCATTACCATGTAAATTCAAAATTTACAAAAGCGGGTTGAATCACGTTGGCTCCCTAAAAATAGACAAAAGAGACAAATTGCTTAAAAGTGAATATCCTTTCAGACGCGGAGTGGCTCTTTGGAGTGACACCAAAAGAGACATGCAGCAAAAATAACGTCATACTTCATAAGAAATCAGATTGAGGACTACAAAGCAGTCAAAAACGGAATAATTCCACTAGCCTAGATAGCTCTCCAGTGTAAAAAAAAAAATGCCTTTGGTCTTTTTGTTTCTCTATACTGTGCTGCTGTCTTCCTGCTACACGATGAAGGAGCTAATTCTTTATTATAGCAGGGCCATGTTTTACAGTCTCCGGGGTCACTCTACCTTCACCAGGGATGGCTTATTCCTGTCAATGCCCCTTTCAACACATCTGATTACCTCAAACTCCTAAAATTATGAGCTGGATCAGGTGTGTTTGTATCACACACATTGACTGCTTAGCTGAACCAAAGCACATCAGACAAAGGGCTAATATGCTTGCTTCATCGGGTAAAAGACGCCACACACGGACACACATGAGCAAACCTAAATCCACACAGTATGTAGAAAAGACAAGAGCAAACCGACAGGACTGCTTTGGTATAGCAGAGCTACTTGCCATTTTATAATGGCACAAAACAGGAAGGGCACAGGAAAAAAAAAAAATGTATGAAAGTTCCTCACACACTTTAGCACAACATGAACCAATCAAACAGAACCATTTCAAACATTGTCTTGATTACAAAAATACTTTTTTGTATTTCTTTAAAATATCTAAAAATGTACAGCATTGTTTTTTTTTCCTTTTTTTTTGCAAAGTCATGCTTCAACATGTATTTAATAATCATAATAACATTAATATGAATGATATACAGAATTATAATAATTATAGTCATATAATAACATTACCCGGCAGCGCTTTAGCCACACGTCTGGCCATGCCAAGATCCTGCATAAATTGTGTTTGCACTCCTTTGGCTGTTTTAACACTTGCATATACAGAATGCAGAGCAAGAGACCTGCTTAACGTTAGACAGGCGATGCAGTCAACTGGTAAACAAAGGGTGTGTGCGCCTTTGTCATGCATGCCCGGTACCTTTCGTGGAGGTGTCAGAGGAGGTGTAGCCAAAGCGCTGCCGGTAAATCTTGAGTATGTAACAGTATAAAAAAGAGTTGGAGGGACTTTGGGAAAGGGTGGGGGTGCTCGATGTGTGATGGAGGCTGGGGTCTAGTATGTCCTGAGGCCCATGAGGCTGCTGCTGCCTAAGAGAGAGAAAGAGCGATACAAGAAAATGGGGTGAGGTTGCCATGGTCACCGCACACGAACCTTGTACACTAATGAAAACACAGGGGATCGTGTGGAAATGTGGCACGACACAAACACATTCACACGCCCATAAAATCGCACACACAGAGGTAGATACACACAAAACATGTTGCTTGTCTTCTCCTCAATTTGGGCTTCATGATGCCAAGAACACACACACTTTTACGCCACAAAATATCTAATACTGCGGTTCTGGGTTTGTTTTCAAAACATTATCTGCTGAGCAAAAGTTGACGCGCTGTCACTGCGCCTCGATGCGGCCACGTTCATTCCAGCAGATGTCTTTGGCAGCGCAATACAATCTCCAAAAAAAACAACAACAACTGGGCTTTCACAGCTTTTCCCACAAATCTACACTTTCAAATCAGACACTGCCAGAAGGGAGTTGGTGGCAAGGTGAGATTTACACCCTTTGTCCTCGCCTGTTGGGATCAATGGTCGTGAAGTCCGAGCCGTAAACTCACCGACGGTACGTTGCTCCGAGGGCTGGAGTCAGGTCAGTCCTCCTTGTTTCTAATTGGACACGAGAGGCAATCAGCAACGCCCGTCACAGCCGGCCACGGCCACCATCACACATCAGGAACCTGAGGACACAAAGGAGGCGAGAGTTTTACCGAAGTGAACAAGCTGCAGCAGCATCCTGACTGCTGGTGGAGTGTTTTTGTTGAGGCTGTTTGTATGTGTTGATTCCATAGGGTGTAGTTGTGATTTTTGACTGTTGTGCGTACGGGTTTAATACTCGAAGGTAACAGAGCTCAAGAACTGCACTCAGACACAGAACAAATGGCCAAAACCGAAGGAACAGAGACAAAAATGTCATCATTTGTAACCTGATAGCTCACCTGGAAGAGCTGGAGCCCCATGTACCATCGCCATGCACAGACGATTCAACTTTGACCTGTGACCCTTTGCTTCGTAAATCCCTCTCTCTCTCCCCCATCTCCTGTCACTCTTCAGCTACTGCTATCAATTAAAGGCAATATAAGCCCAACAAAGAGTCCTAGTCCCTAATATGGGTCAAGCTCCAAAAACACTGGCTCCTACACTTCCCACGATGCAACTCAATCTTTCATTAGATGATCTCTGTCTGGTAAACTCCCACACCTTTCACTTGACACGCTTCCCGCCACCAGTTTATAATGCAGGCTTTCTGTTAACATGTAGTTTCCAAGCCCACGCCGGCATGACTCAAAGTGATGGCTCTGAAGCTCCTCCAGAGCCACAGAAGACATTAAACAGCTGTTTTCTCAGGAGCACACCCTCTGACTAGTCAACTGATAATGGCATGTCAAATCAGCTGACTACCCTTTAAAAAGACCGTTCTGCCATCTTTTGCCACATCTTTTAAGCTCAAAGTCCAGCTGTGACTAACAGGATGTCAGCTGACAATGGTCTTAAATACTTATGTTGAACTTCTAATCCTCCTAATAACCGTATCTCCCATGATCCCTCTCCACCTCAACTCCTCTACTCCCACCCCACACACCAGCAGACCAAAGAGAAAGGTCAACCCTCCGACCCCCTCACCCAACCCCAGATGTATCACCAAAAATAGACATCTCTCGGAGACCGTGGTAACTCGGGTTCGGGGGGGAGGGGGGATTCGAAACTCTTTGGAACAATAAACAATTAGCAAACCAAACATGACCTTAAGAGAAAGGAAGAGAGACAGACTGTTGCAGGCAAAGAGGGGAGACGGGTTTGGGAACAGTTCCCCGTTCAGAGAACAGTGCGTGTTTTGAAGGGGCACGGCTGGCCTAGCTAATGCCCTGTTGCGCGTTCAATCAAGGATGAGGGAATCGATGCGTTATACAGCCGCTTGGCTAAGCTGATGCGACGCATACTTCCAGACCACCTTATTTGTTCTGGCTGAGAAACCAAGGTTAAAGATTGGGTTGATCATTGAACATGTCTGTGCGGATTAGGAAAAGGTTTAGTGATTTGCGGGCTTAATGTGTTACATCCAATAACTCGGCCCAGGCGCCTAATGTGAGATAGGTAAACAAGTAGTGTTTGAGAATGTGGGAGGCGACTGTGGGAGGTTTCTCATGAATGTGTGCTGTTTCCATGTTTTTTGTTTTTTTTTTCAGCTAGGCTTCATGAAGCAATTGCTCCTGCCTGTGTTATCAGTGATCATTGATCTCGTGCTGCAAATGAAGAGGGAGAAGACATTTGACAGTGCTTTTCAAATGCGGATATTTGTTTTTTTTTTGTCCTCTGCGATAGTAATCTGAATTCTTTTGGATTTTAGAGTTATTGTAAATGTGTCTTTCACTTTCTTTCACTATCACTATCTGACATGTTATAGAATAAAGAATGAATCAATGAATGCAAGAAGGTAAGTGGGAGACTAGTTTAGAATTAAAGTTAGTTAGTTGCAGCCCTAAACTATTGCACTGCAGATGGTTTCAATTTAACATATTAAGACTCAAATTTCAAAAATGTAGTATCGGTTGTTGCATTAGTGACACAGTACAGTTGTTGGTAGGTATAGTAGCTACTCAAATCAAATCAAGCTGCACGTAAACTGCACTCGCTGTTTATGGTGATGGATTACACAACACAACTGTGGTTCAAGAAAAATAATGTAAACCCAGTAACTGCCTATAGTAAGTATACATAATTTATAATACAGATGCTTAAACATCCAAACACACCCGTATGGTCCTTTAAGATTTCTACCTGTGCAGCACGGCCATGAAAAAGAACTGAAGCCCCTTTAATCCGGAGAAAAGCCTTTAGGCCCTGGCTGTGTTTCTCACATACCAGCAATAGTTGCTGGAGCTGGGTGGTGATGAACACAGCTGCTGACATGTATCCAGCTCCTGAGACCCGGTGCAGGGACGAGGCCACAGTGTAGCTATACTGTATGCCTGTGTGTGTGTGTGTGTGTGTGTGTGTGTGTGTTATATGTCAGTAGGGGGTGAAGGAATAAAGTCCCACTTCCTTATTAGAAGGGGCCCCAGCTGGCCCTCAGCTCTCTGGTGGGAGGTAGTCCAACATTGCACAGGAACCATTGGTTTTTGTCGGGCTATTGGCCAAAAAGCTCCTCAGGGCAGGCAGCCAGTCTACACGCACACACACACATTCGTCTCTCTCAGGCTAACACACAAGCATGCATGATAGGGGTACACACAAACACACACACACACACACACACCACACTCTCTCTACACTCCCCCACCATGTCTTGTCAGATGGAAAATCCGGATTACCTTTCCCTCCAGTTCACTAGGCATTAATGTCCACTATTAGGTTGTCTTTGGATGTAGCTCTGTGCCGGAGCATGAATGTCAAATATAATTCAGCTTCACAAACATTCAGAAGAATGACTAGCCTAAGCCTCCAGGGGTATTAAAATAACAAAAACATACAATGTAGTATGTAGCTACCCGTCTTAACATATATGAAGTGGCACTGCTGTAAATGAAGTTTTCAAAACGGTACTTCCCTTGAGGCTGCCAGGTGATTAAGACAATTCATTAACAGCCATGACTAAAGACCCCTGAACACTACCTCACTTTCAGCTGTTCACACAAACACACACTCAAGTCTCCCACGGTTACACTTCCTAATACACATACTCTGACCGTGAGTGGTTCCCTTCCGTCAGATGCCAAGACAACCACTGACCGACCACAAGCCTCTCACGACTGTGGAGCTGTAAGCCTCTCTGAATTCCCATTGTGAGGGTTTACTGTCACCAGACGCCTTCAGCATGAGTAACAATTCACAAACGCTGCCGCTTTTTGAATGCACATGACCCATCAACAGCAGACAGATTGTACAATGGTGGTGCAACGCAGACAGCTTCTCTCTGTAACCTCAGTTCAAGTTTATTCTTGTTGTCTTGCAGCTCAAATAGTTTCAAAGTGTTTCACAAGCGCCATGCTTAGCGGATTGCATTGCACAAATAAATAACACCCTCCTCACAGCCCACATCAAGACGTCAAGTAACTGTGTTCTTGACTGAATGCATTGAACAGACAAGAAGGGCCAAAAAACACAAGGTCTGGTGCAGCTGAACTGTTTGTTTGCAAAGCTGCAAAATGTCAGGGACAAACAAAGCAGCGAGGCTAACTCAACACTGACAGTTTACTGTGGGAAGTGACCAGCATTTGAGTATCATGAGTATTATTAGATTTTATTATGTAAACATACTTTCTACATTGTAGACTTTTCGGTCATGCTCTAGTGCAGTCATTTACACGAAATGACCATGTTGGTGCACACTGGAAATGAAACAGTATTGTGGCTCACTCTCTTAAGTTACAGAGTTATCCTGCCTTTAAGGATTAATCCACCTAAATGACTGAAAAACAGAGTTTTCTGTTTTGTTCCATGATAAGCTCAGCTTTAATAGTTTTATTGAGTCATATCACATAGTTTGAGAGTGCCAAGAAGTCTCTGTGTTTTTGGAAAAGATACAAGGTAGATTTAATCATCATCTTACAACACAGGGTTGTATAACAAGATTAAGTTGTGCTTCCCTTCATACTACTCACACATTATATACAAATAATACATTCAGTAGATGGGTGAATAAATAAGTCATAGAAATAAAACTATTTGAGGAGTGCTGAGGATGAATTAAGCAGTCTCACAGCCGGGGGGACGCTGCTCTGAAATCTGGAGGTACGGCAACGGATACTTCTGTAACTCTTGCCAGACGGCAGCAGGGGCAACAGGTTGTAGCTGGTGTGGGTGCTGTCTTTTAGTATTACATAGGTTTATCTAATATCCTATGTAGGAATATTACTTATTTCCTGCCTGGCCTACTTCTAAATAATGAAGAAAAGGGTATCTTCCAGGTCTGACAGCTTCAAAGTGAAACAACCCTCATCCTGTACGTGATCTCAATGACAATGGTTACTTTTGCAGTTGGTTATTATTTATCCAGAACAAGGGGCAGCCAAAAAACATGTAGCAAAGACAGAAAATGTTCTGTCTTTACAGGCATTGTGTGTGTTTATGTCTTGTGTTGTTTGATGCCAACTATTTTTGTATATATTTTCTCACTTACCTCTAGTGATATCTAGTCGTGAAGATAGGTTTTGGATGAATTTATTCAGGGTTAGGGTTACAGTTTCTGCCTCCGTCGCAGTTCAGCAGGGATGAATGGAATTAGTTTGTGATGCTCACATTAAGAGATGACATCTAAAACAACAGCTCTGTTATTCTGGATAATCCACAGACGTCACTGTGAGCAGTTTTCCTAGGGACTATTTATTTATAAAAGTGATTCCAAAGAAAACTGCTTACAGTGAGGTCTGTAGTTTTCCAGAGCAAAGAGGTCACTGTTTCTAGAAAGACATTAAGCTCCTGTGTGATTTTTGAATGCTATTGTTGTGTGTGCTTGCTTTGAGAGGCCTTATGATTAGGCATGTACCCTGCACACTACATAATTTGAGTGTGTTGTGTATGTGTATATCTGCTGCAGTGGCCTGTAATTATCACAATATTCTGACTGGATGTCTCAGCTTCACTTCACCCTCCACTGTGAGCCGGATGTGGGGATGTTGTTGTTTCATTGAGGGGCTAATATCCACTGGGGCAGCCTGACCGGCCAAATGACTTCCTCCTGGTTTGATAGAGGAGTAATTATTTCCTCCAAGTCCCTCCCTCCTCCACTCCCTTCCTCCTTTACCCCCCTGACAGAGACGAAATCCCCAAAACATCAAATTACTCCAACAGCTTTTTCTCATGCAGTATGTTTCAGGCTCTGGAAATCAGCTATGATGCAGGGTTACAAAAGGGACAGTTGGGCCTAGCACCAATCAACAGTTTGATGAATGTTAGCCTCCATGCTACCATCACCACCCACTCCCCACTGACTCCCTAAGGGGTCGGGAGAACATGTTTCTTCCTGTCCCGAGACGTTGGAGGGAGGGTACTGGTGACAGTGTGACTGGCGCCGAGTGCGAACACACACACACACACACACACAGACAGACACACACAGACACAGTCAGCCAACAGATACACAGACTAGCAGGGGATTTGTTGTGCTTTGTGGTTTTGTTTTTCTGCGAGCACAACAGCGTTTAGTTTGTCTAAACCAGACAGAGAAGCACATGTGCTGTGTAGCGCATGCATGGTTATAGTTGACTTATGTACTTATCAAAGGACTTATTTGAAGCCGCTGTCTACTGTCTGCAGCTCCACTGAAATTAATTCATCTGTAATTTATTTTGAATAAAGCTCCACTCAAATCATTTTTTTAATAACGATTCATAAAAATGGCCCTTCCGGCAGTACCCAGGTATCTCAGTGGTTCATGGTTCATATTCCACATTTACGACCTTCTGGAGCATCACATCCTCCGTCTCTCTCTGTGCCGTCTTCTTTATAATTCTCCACCGTGTACTTAGTCATAATGCGGAAATGCCAAAAACATCTTTTAAATTAAAAACTGTGTTTCATTCTGCCAGGGTTTGACAAAATGACAAATATGCCCTAATATCTGCTGAACAGCATCAACATTATTATAGGGCAATATTCAGTGTTTATAATGGCAAAGTTAGAGCGTGTGCACAGTAATAAACTTTCCACTCACATACAAGTACAATAAATATCAGGCGTCCTTCCAGTAGGCAGATCTGTGGAACCAATAAGTTCCCTATGATCCCCCACAAAAACTACTCAACATGTATAATCTTAATGAATAACAATTTTAGTGTAAAAAGTTGTTTTGTCCTGAAATTTTAGAGAATCTGAATCAGTAAATTGTCAGTGGTGGAAGACGTATTCAGATGCTTTACTTAAAGTTGCACTAATAAATATTTTTATGTTAACAATGGATGAAATGACTATGTATATTGTGAAAAGGGTTTCTCGTAGTGAATTATCACCCAGATCTGCAGTTCCCTTCAACCCTACAGAGCATTGTAGTGTCTTCAAGCTGATTGTTTTGGTTTTCCAGCCACAAATTTACTGTTTAACGTTGTTACCCGACATAGCCAGCATCTTTTTTTTTAGCAAAAAACATCTGATAATCCCACTGTGTGCTACCTAGCACAGACCAGCACCAAAAGGCAAAGACTATAAGCGGCTGAAGAGCAAGGTATTTTAATCGAGAGCTAGCTAAAACTGAAACAGAGCTAAAAGGAAAATTAATATTGGACTTAGCATTAATTTGCATGACTCCAAATGAATGTTGCTCTGTGTTTGCATGTTACATGTTTGTAACAACATTGTATGTCAGTGTTGTGTTTACAGCTTGCTGTAAGTGGCTAAAAAATGAATAAGGAAATACAAAAGTATCAGCACCAAAATATAACTACTAACTAGCTGATATGTAGATAATAAAAGTATATAATATTTGCTTCTAAATTGTAGAGAAGTTGAAGTAAAAATAAAAGAAATACTCAAGTAAAGTACAAGTATCTAAAACTACTCAAGCACAGTACTTGAGTGGATGTACTGAGTAACTTTCACCACTGGCTATAATAACATTACCTATCAAAGAAGCTGATATTAGCATTTTAGTCATATTTGCTGAGATCTACCCCGTCTGTTTTATTAAAACGTTGGCATCGGAGCTCGTTGTATATTCTGTTTGACTCGCTGCCTTTGATGCCTGAGATCAAGCATCACATCAATGGGAAAAGTCGACCCTCTGTACCCTGTGACCTGAGTGGGGAAAATAATGGAGTTCCCCTTTAAATTGCATCTTTTATCTCTTATGATGATGTGCGAGGAGTGACTGCAGTTTCATTGACCCACGGGGTTTTACACTCCTACATTTGAGGCTAATTTGTTTTGTGTCAGTGAGTTGTATGCGTCTGAAGCCAACTAGCAGAAACGTGACTGGTTAGTTTGGCAGTTAGCTGGGTGGATGTTTTTCATGTGAGGTTTGAGGGCAAGATGAGGGTGCTCACTTGACGCACACACGCTACGTGCATGGAGTAACACCCTGTGATATGTCTGACATATGTTTAGGAATATCTCTGTGCTTGTTTAAACAAGTGTCATAACATTTACTAAAGTATTTTCCCTGCATTGCGCAATGTACACTTCTTGGTCATTGTAGAGCAATGTTGTGTGTGTGTGTGCGTGTGTGTGTGTTACTCACACATACTTCAGCAGAACTGCCTGGACTTCCATCCCTGAGGAGTTCCATCTGCAGGTGGGAGCCAACGAATCTAAACACACATAATCACACAAACATACATACAAATTATACGACTATATACAATTTATATTTATACAAACTTAGTTCTTTTCCTGGACTAAACATTGTTTTAACCCTGTAACCTCAAGGAATAAAGACATTTAAAGGAAATACACTTATTTGCTTTCTTGCTGAGAATCAGATGAAAATGTATATATGATACATGCTATAGCAAGCAAGCAGCTTAGTATAGCATTAAGACTGACGACGGGGGAAACAGCTAACCTGCCTCTGTCCAAAGCTAACATAATCCTCCCATCCAGCAACTAGCACCTCTACATATCACTAATTAACACATTATATGTGGTTTGTTTAATCCATACAAGAACCGAAGTGTAAAAACAACAGTTTTTACAGCGATTTTACAGGTGGATATATGCTGGTTGCCAGGAAACCTCACTGTGATGACAGGACTCCAGGAGGGCTAACTGCACCCCCCCCCCCTTTCATTCTGTATGCTAAGCTAAGCTAATGGCTGTAGCTGCATATTTTCTATACAGACAAGAGAATGGTAGAAAAGCGTTTTCATCCAGCTCTCGGCAAGAAGACGAATTAGCTAATTTCCCAAAACTATTCCATTAACTCAAAGATTTTTATGTATGCTTTCACATTTAATTGAAGAATTTTTATTAGATTCGATTATTTTATTAGATTGTTTTTAAGATGCAAGAGTTACAACATGGCACTCCTTATTTGTTACAGAACTTCATAACTTTACTTTAAAAAGTAATCTGTCAATAACTGTCACATGTCTCGTATATTTTAGAATAACTCACACAAACCACCTTGTATTGAAATGAAATTCACATGATGCATGAACAGAAGGACTTATTGTTTTTATGAGACCTATTGCCTTGTAGGCAGCCCAGTTGATAACATTTACAAGCAATCCAATAACATTATTGTACTCGGACTAGAAAAGATGAGAGCAGCTGATTAACCAGGGAGACAGAAAGCTGAGCTCATGTTAGCATAAATTAGATTTTATCATTTAGTTGTGTGTGTGTGTGTGTGTGTGTGTGTGTGTGTGTGTGTGTGTGGTGCATTCATATACATATTTTTATGTTCAAGCCAGCATCTACTCTAGGTCAGAAGAAGGTATGGCTGTGAGATGCTAACATTACCCACAACCCTCTACTGAAATCACTAAGCCAGATTCTCTGTGTGTCAGTGTACACTCACATATCTGACGCATATGGAAAAATGCCAGCTCGGCAGATTCGACTTGCACTCATTTTAAATTCTGACATCACGTAAGCTTCTGCTTTACTGTCTTTGCTAGAGGCCTTTATACTTAAATAACCTTAGTATCTAAATTATAAATGGAAATATGCTCCATATACTCAGAGATTAAAGACAAGTTGATCTTAAAATACAGCAAAGTACTGAGAAATTACTGCCAGCTTCAAAAACAATCAAAAAACAAAAAACAAAAAATAAACAGCACATCTAATACTGTGATCTAATCAGGGTCAGCCAGCACCAAACCATGAGAAGAATTTCAAGAGATCAATAATGAACTCTTATGTGAACTCACAGTGGAGCTGTGCAGATTAGAGTACCTAAATAAAATGGATCAAAGTTGGTTGAAAAAGAGGGATTTAATTAATGAAGTAGGTGTTGGTCAAATGATGATGCAAGCCTTTCAAACCACTGACACTTTCAGTTGTGCAGATGATGCCACTGATTGGGATAAATAAAATGGCATAATGCGAGCTGTTATTGATTCAGCTGTAGTGTGTGATGTTAGACCTTGACAGATTTCCCCATTTTAAATATTTTCTCTGTCTTGAATTATTAACTTTCTAAAAAATATGCTGAGCACACAAGCTTCTTCTAATTCTGTTGACTATTTTTCTTAATTGTCAGGATTTAAAAGACCCTAAGCAGGAGCCATGCATGCTTAAATAAATAGTTCAGTTTTGTTAATTCGGCTGTTGATGTTAAACGGCCAAATAATGCTGATTGCAACCAATCAGCATTAATTGGCCATTCAACTACTACTGTTTAAACATGTACCATTTTGAATTAAGGGAAGAGCTCCTTTCTTAGCAAACATTACTTTTTTCCCCCTACTTAGAGCACTTAAAAGTGAGTCAAGCCCTTTCTTGTGGCTCTGCAGGCAGCTTAAGGGTACGGTGAACAGTGAGATTAGTTTAGTTTAGTTCGATTCCGGGAAGTTAATGGGATCAGGTAACAGTTCCTCTCAAGAGAAGGGTAAAACAGCATTACATGTCTGCAAAAATGGACTACACCCTGTAAATTAAATATTTATAAAGTCAGTAATTTCACTATCAATAAACAAATTCGATATATCAAATTCCTGATCCACATCCTGCTTTTATGGAGCGCAATCATAGCAGATGAACATTACTATCCGTATTTCAAAAATGGCAGTTTTGACCTATAATGTGATGGTAGAAAGTGAAAAAATAAACCCTGTAGCATGGCAAAAGATTTATTTATTTAGTTTTATAAGACCGGCTACCTAATCCCAAAGGCTGCATGTAGAGACAATAAAAAAAACCTTCATGAGTGTGACTGTAAGAAAAATGGGAACATTCTCAAATCCAAACTACCCCCTTGACTTCACAACAACACACATTCAACCAGTAGAAGAAGAGATGGGAGCTAGTAAGTAGATCTGTAAATCTGCAAATGACAAGAGACTGGGTGGTGTGTGCTCTGAAGTGCATCTGTGGGATGGAGAAGAGAGTGATGTCAGGGCTGACGGCAGCAGCTGTTTGTGCGGTGGGCTCAGGAAGAGGTGTGGGGGGTGGCAGTGGTGGTGGTGGGGGGAGGAGGGGGATGGGTTTGCAGGTTACCTGAGCGTGGAGCGAGGAGGGTAGGTGAAAGCGGGTGGGAGGGCCGCGACAGCTCCGCCGGGTACAGCGTTGTAGACGCCACAACGTCTGGCTGCTGGGATTATAGAGTAGGCACTGTGAGCTCATCTGTGGAAAGAAGAAAAGGAGGAGTGGAGTGAGGAGGAGTGGCCAGTGGATGGGTGGTGGCTAGAGAGACAGGGGGGGAGGTAGGCTGGTCGTGTAGGTGGTTGTGGAGGTGCACTACAGGTGAGTTATCAGTAATCTGAAAGTGGCGTCCTCTTGTTTCAAGTCTTTAAACCAACTGCTGCTAAACCAGTCCCTCCAAACAGTGACCAATCATTGCTTAGCAACCGTGACTAGGCATGAATTGAACTTTGGATTTCTCAACATGCCAAATCGGTACGCATTGGGTTTTAGCGGGAGTGATAATACCTGGCAGATTATTAACGAGTTTGGAGGATAGTGTGCCAAAACCACCAAAAAACCAAAAACAAGCAAAGTCTACCAGCTTACTACCTACAGTACTTCCACACATGATTAAAGCCCCATTCACATCCACTGTGTAGTATGTGTAAGCTTTATGCTCTCTAGTTTTTTTTTGTTTTGTTTTTTAAATAAAAATCGGATTTGGGGAAAATGACACTCCAGCAACCGCAATGATAACTCATAGATAACCTTACAGACATATCCATTATTCCTTTTCTCTTGTAACTTTAAGTGACAACCTTACATTTTCTCATCATGATTGAAAAAACTAAGATTATAGCTCTACGCTGCAATAGTTACAACAATGCTATTTATCACATTCTTCTAAATGGTACATGAACTCATGAGGATTCGGACTTTGTCTCTAAGAGATGAAGCTTTAGCTTTAGCATTTAGCACAATATCTTGTATGAAGCTAGTATGTAGCATAAAGTTCATATTTAAGATATATTAAAACAAGTCAACTGGAAGCATTACTAAGTCAGCCAGAGATGATGTTTTCAAACAACTCATGGAAATAGTGTAAGCTTGGTTATGTACTGCTGTTGTCATTTCAGTAAGCCAAATTTGGCTACAAAGGAAAAGCCTAGATTTTCAATCATGATGAGAAAATTTAAGGACACATTGTTTTAAAAAAGAAATGAATGCTAAATATGTCCCCGTTATTATTGTGAACTGCATATATCCAATGTGAGAATGGTAAGCTTAACAGGCGTAGCAACACTCAATAAGAGGGTATGGCCTAGCAATAGTCAATTATACTCCCCTAAAACTGGTAAAGCGGACTTAATTCAGGATAAAATGAGAGGAAACCATCTCAGATACAGTGATTTACTCACTGCGTCGAGTACAAAGTGATTGTGAAAAAAAGAGCACAGTGCATGAGTGAAGGGATAGGTGACAGTGCAGAGTGGTACAGAGTACTCTGGTACAGAGTAAGTGGGCTATATAGAGAGAGAACCATCAGATAGCCGTTCTGGGTCTCCTGGTACAGTAAGTGTTTATCATAGCATGATCAGAAAAACTGCTGATTTAAACATCTCTCATCAGGAAATGACAGCAATTTCTCTCCTGGTGATTACGTCATGGTTTCATTAATCGTTTCCTTCCATTTTCCACCGGGGCCCCAAGTACACACCCTTTTTTCTGGCAAGAAAAAAAAAAAAAAGATCCGAGATAAGAGCAGTTTGGTCATTTAGGAAGAATGTACGACCACAGCTGGCCTATGTTCAACTATCAATGGCTGATTCTAGCAGAATCCTTAACTCCTTAGAAAAATATTTAACTAAATAGAAAAAAAGTACAGAGCTGCATTAGCAAATTCCATACACGCCTGGCACTCAAAGGCCTTGAGTCCAAATAATTAGAGCAGCGGCTAACGGTGAATATGCACTGTTTATGAATCATTAATCCAACAGGGGGCATCTGTCGTTAGGGGGAGAGCTCTAATCAAGTTAACCCGGTATGACATAAGTGCTCAGAATCTGATTTCAAAGAAACTGTTTTCATGAGTAGCTGGAGAGGATCCGTTTTTGGTTACAGATTACCAAGAGAAGTGTCTTTCACCTGTTTCCACAGGATTGACAACGTTTCAGTGAGAAACAAACACACCCTTTTCAGTGATTAACAGCCAAGCCAGTCTCCATTTTTCATGTATAGTCACAGCTGAAGCACAAACACTCCACTACTAATGACAACAACTCCTAAAGGGAAACAGCTGTCCAGTCACCTCAAACATGAGAAACTAATGGCCACAGGATGCAGCAAAACACAGACAAAAAGTAAGACGAGCTCAAGGACAGACGGACGAATGGTCGGCGTACTCACATGGGTCTCTGCTAATGAACTGTGGCCCGGGGCTCTGCTGGGAGGGAGGGGGATTGGGGGTGCCAACCAGCTTGTTCTTGGCCATCTTGGTGTTGGCCTTGGCGAACTCCAGCCGCAGGGTCTGGGGGATCTCCGGATCAAACCGGACCCCCTGAGATCAAACAGAAAGCTGTGTCAGCAAAAATACATAACAGAATATTTGGACTGATTGATCAAAAAGCTCAAATATCATAATGACAGTGTATTGATTATTGTATTGTTTATATACACCGATCAGCCATAACATTATGACCAGTTGCTATGAAGAAGAAGCCAATCATAGGTACTAATCAGAGTAGTAGCAAACTACTAAAAGGCACAGTTAGCCTTTTTTATGTACACAGACGTGTACTTAAGTGTTTTTATAGAAGAACCAGATATTTTCATGATTTATGGTTGAACCAGGAGAATTTCATGCAGATCCAGGACTTGGAAGAGGTCCAAGAGCCAGTCCTGTAGCAGAAAATAAACGCTTCCAGAACCCAGAACACCTGAAATAACTCCTACCAATTAGTAAATCTATAAAAGGCATCAGCATCGGTTAGGCAAAGTGAAAACCTATTTATAACTTCTTCATCTGTGTACATTAATAGAGTAGTTTTTTCGCTCCTGAAATCATTATTTTAATGCATTATTACACATTACATTATTACACATTGGGTATTCAAATTCATGTATTTGAATATTTCAGCTTTTTCAATTGTTTTATGCCCTGATCAAACTTGAGTATTAACTCACTTCCTGCCAGGAGAAACAACATATTCCCACATATTGTTCCCAGCCAAACTATGATGAATGCAGCCAGGTTGTGTACAGACTTCTTAGATATCCCTTGCCTTCCTGGAAGGTTGCTCAAAGTGAAAACCTTGGGAGGTGTCTTTGTTGAGCAAGATTAGGGTTCACCACATGATGACTCTTAATGATGTTACACATTACAACAGTAAAACTTGTTTTAGCAACAGTGCCTAAAACAACCAATTCATTATTTCATTCACTACTGAAGTGGTTATGTTATAAATAAGAGAACAATTGATAGACTTGCCGTCTTGTGCCTTGAAGTAGGGATGAAGCAGACAATTTTAGACTACTGAGGAGTTAGTTATCATTCATGTCTTCCCCTTTTGCATTCTCAGCCTGGCTGTATGTTGTTTAGATGTCCAATGGGACCTGGCTGATATCTGGAATTGTCACTTGGTATACTGTTCATCTTTCAGCATTTTATGACTGAATTTACTGCCGAATTCTTGGCGGAGAGAGGGCATTTTCAGTTGCTTAGCCTTTGAAGCCGGTAAGTGGCTCACTGTGATTTAGAGTGTTATACTGGTTTGACACGCATGATGACGGGTGACACCCGCAACTGAAAATCAAGACCTGATGACACAAACCTGGCGAGCGCATGATGTCATTTACACCACAGGCAGACAAGCCACAAGGTCCTCCCTATGCTCCCTACTGAACTCCGTAACTGTAACTTAATATCACGACATCAAATCCGCCATTCACCATGACATATTGCAAGCATCACCGCTTAAAGTGAGCCAAACATTCTGGCAAATTCTTGAGATGCCGAGGTTGAGGTTTTTTTTTTTTTCCTCTCTTACAGTTTGATCTACATCAAAAACCTCCACATGTGCAGTAGTCCAAATCATTTTTCTTTTCAATTACTTTCGCCTGAGGAAAAGTAAGGAATGTGACATAACCAAAAGGTCTTCTTCATGCAAAAAACAAAGCAGCTATTTGTTTGCCTGCTGTGGAGGCAACAAGGCCGGGAAGGTTTTCACCGGCAACTATAAGCACCCTCTCATTAACCTCATTCGATTGTCTATAAAAGACGCATTGGAAAACACGGAAGGTCAGATCAATGGAGGAGAAAAGCAGTCAAGAGTAAAGTTCTCCGCAGCAGAAGAGCGAGAAGCTGCGCGGATGGTTTTCTCGGCTCGTCCCTGCAGGCTCGGGGCAAAGCTGAGCTGAAACAAGCGAGGGATGACTCTTCTCATGAAGGGGAGGGAATTAACTAGGATTGCATTGGCTCAGTGCACTCGCAGCTTCTGCCAGTCGAGGCTGCAGATGTATAATAAGGTACATGGATATAATGAGGCCTGAGCACATCTCAGTTTGAACTGTGTGGAATCTCTACCTTGAAATGTGTTTTTTAGCTTCTTAGCACTTCCTTTGCACTTCTGCTTGTATTGTGTTGGTGATGCCTGTGATTGTTAGAATGGTGCTGTAGCGAGAATCAAGTGTTATTTTAGAAGCTATATTTGCTCATGGTTTATAGGAAATATAAAAGAACTACTATGACAGGAAACAAATCCCCTATTTCCCTCAGTTTTCTCCGTCTTTCCCATATTTCAATATGCAGATGTTTGCAAAATCTGGCTCCTTATCTCCATATGACCCCCGGGACGTAGCTCTCCCCAAAAAAACAAGAGCACCGTTCAATTCTGAGCCCCACTGAGTGATTCTATGGAAACAGTCTGACTATTGTTGGCTCATAATAAGATGTTAATTTTTTTCCTTTATTCAACTCTCTGCTCTGCCTTTGATGCGCACCAATATCTCAACATCTGAAAGTTGACAGGCTCTACTCGCGTTGTCACGGTCCCACTTTAGAGGGATGATAAAGCTGATCTTTTTCTGTGACAAAGGGATCAACAAAAACTTAAGAAGCAACAGAAGAAGTGGTGTACATCTAGGCAGGTTAAAAAAACAATGGGAAACTAAAGCTGTGTGAGAGCTGGTGTTCATTACTGTCTATCTATATTTTGTTTCAAGAGAGCCGAATAAAACCCTGTGAGGATGGGCTGTTTCATATTTGAGTCTGCCTCATCAAGGCTTTCTACTGAGCTAAGTTCTGAAATAAGTGAGATTAAAATTAAACCCTAGATCAATATCTTCTATTTATACGTGGCAGAAGAGCTCATTTTCTTCCTGACCTTGCAGGATCCATGGCAGAGCTTTAAGAAAAGGGCTTTATTTACTCAAAGAGAAACACTCAGACGTACGGTATTTAGAGCAGTCCGTGATATGTTTGTCTTGCCTTCGCTACCTTTTCTGAATTTTTGCATGTGGTGGAAAATGGAGGAATGTCTGGATTTTCCCCTGATATCAAATGCATTTGCACAGAAGGCAGAGAGATGCGATTCCAAGTCATCACAAGATATACAAGCGCCAAGCTGGTGCTTGAGAGGAGCACGAAGAGGGCATGACACTTACGTTCAAGGCATTCTTAGCAGCCTCCGCCTCTGATCGACTGTCAAAGCTGACAAACCCCACTGGCTGGGGAGACAAGAAGACAGAACAAAAGAAAGAAACATGGTTTAAGGCAGAAAACTGAGTCGGCATTTCTGTCTGAGTGACATAGACATGTTGTTCTTTTTTTATTTTTTTATCATGCTCAACCCCCCACCCCTTCTCTCTCTCTCTCTCTCTCTCTCTTTCGCCATGTTTATAAAAAAAAAGACTGAGAGAGGGAAAGAAGGGGAGAGAGAAACAGAGGCTGGACGCTTACATTGTACAAGGAGAGTTCATCATTCAGCTCCCCTATGCCCAAATACGGGCAATGTGAGAGCAAGAGAGTGCATGTAAGAATGAGTGTGAGAGAGGTAGAGGGGGGGAGAGGAAGACGAAAAAAAGAAAAGAGATAGAGAAGACAAACAGGGGGGTGGTGGTGGTGGTGGTGTTGAGAATGAGAATTTAGAGGTTAAAGGTGAAAATGAAAATGAAAGAAAGGGAGGCGAGGGGCAGAAATAGTTTTCATGACCTCCTCGAACAGGCCTGTCAGTGGAACAACTATTTCACTGGTGCTTGTTTTATATTCGGGACACATCACTCTAGAGCCCGTGCCCACAATAGTAAAGGTGAGTGAGCAAGAGGGAAAAGCAATGGATGTTTGGTTGTCAGATTTCTAACCGCCGTTGCAGATATGAACAAAGAACACACGTTTCTGTAGACTACGTGTGTGCGGATGGGGATGTTGGGAGGAGGTGGGGGTGAGGAGAAAACCAAATCTCTAAACATGTTGCTCCCATGGGGTCGCGCTGCTGCGTGTGATCTGGAAAAGCAGTGTAGGGTTGTGGGAATTTTGAACAAGTAGAGAAAGGGGAGGAGGGGAAAAAAGAACAGTACATGAAAAAAAAAACGAAAGAGGGACCAAGTAAAGACGTCAGGAGGATGAAGCGTAACAGGAATATAAATAGAAAAGGTCTGAGATCTGGCTCTTGCTATATATGGAGATGGCTGTGTGTTCTCGGACTGGAAGGGAGAGGGAGATCGATTGATTTACATCGCCGTTGTCATTAGTCAGGAGGAGAGTCGCTCAAAACAAAGAGCCGCCTGAAGATTGTTGTACCGTGCTTTGCGAAGCCTGGACATGAGCACCTCAGTTGACATTTGTCATGAGGTAGATGGTAATTAAAACAGTATGAGTTAAGGTGGGGAGCAAAGAGCGGCCAAAGTGCACAGAGAGTTGCTGAGTGTCTAACTTATTCATTACAGGCTGAACTAAAACAGCAAAACCGGCACAAACCACATTTTATAGATTATGAATTACAATGATTACAACCACAATTAGTCATTTAGACATTAAATTAATTAGCAAGTATTTTGGTGATGCTTTGAAGATTCACTTAACACTGGGCTGAAAAACAGTATTTTACAGCAGTGATGCTGGGTGCTGTTGGGTGTGGCTCTGTTGCACCTGTAACCACATTCAACATCGATGTCACAGGGTCCTGGAGCACACCTGTACATCACTGCAGCACTGGAGGTCAGCAAAAACAAGGTTTTTAGGAGGCGTTTAAGCACAAATGCCAATAACGATCAGTTTCCAGCTTCTCCACTGCGAGGATTTGCTGCTATTTTCTGTTTTAAAATGGAGGTTTGGGGGTTTTGGACTGTTGGTCAGACAAAACATGGCACTGGGAACTTGTGATTGGCATTTTTCAATATATTCCGACATTTTATAGACCACGCAATGAATCGACTAATCGAGAAAAGATTAAAAAAGATTTAAAAACTATGCAAAAACAATGCTTTAGTAGTATTAGTATAAAGCTCCATTGGACCTAAATGTATTAACATATAAAAAGGAATATTAGAATAGCTGCTAATTGCCTTTTTGACAACATGCAACTACAATGAAACAAAAAAAGTGAAAATCCCAAACCATGCAATGGGATTTTACAATGTTCTGAAGAAATTTCACCGCCGAAAAGCTTTCCTTTGTTCTTAGTTTTAGAGGTATTATACTTAGCACATTCAATCTAAATCGCCCTAAACCCTTCTAATGAGCATGTCATGTCTTTATGGGAAACAGTCTAATGTGGTAGTAAGTACACTGACATGAAGCTAAATTGCTTAACTCTGGATGTGGACACCTGCCAGCTGAGCTCATTTTCAGTCCTGCGCCCCTCGAGGCAAAACTGAACCGTCAGTACTGCTCTTGTCAAAACGCTCGCTTTGACACCTCAAAATTCTTTTCCCGTCTCCCTTCCCATCCCCACACATCCCACCGGAGTTGACTGTCTGTGACTAAAAGCATACTATCCGACTGCCAAAGGCAAGTTGGTGCAACACCTCCCCCCCCCGAATAAAGAATTTCAGGTACTTCCTGACAAAGGGTGCTAATCCTTCATCGTCAACATGCCGATATCACCAAGAGGGGGAAAAAATAGGACAAAGGAGAGAAGAAATTAAAGGTGTTGATGAGCAAGAAATTGAGTAATGTCAACAGTAACAGCATGGTGAGAGACTGATGCCTTCATACATTAGCTGGGTTGTAGAAACACACTCCTCTGTCTGTCTTGTAGCATACCTGTTTGGAAGTGAGTTTTATCAAGGAGCCTTCATAGCCCTGAAACAAAGAAAGAAAAATGTCAGAATTGTGAAAAAGGTTCTGTTAACAAAGACAACAGCTATAATTTGGTGTCAAAAACAAGATATTTTAAGGGTTCTAGTGAGTAAAAACGTTGCAAAACGTATCATTTGCATAACATTTGCATTTAGTGAGAGGCTCTGTATTTTTGCATTTTGCATCACCACTGACTAAGCTAGGTTGTTGGACGAGTCAAAGAGCTCTTATGAAGACCATATGGACTGATTGTTATGTCTTACCTGATTAATAGAATTTACTGCTTTCAACACTGATGACATAAACCATTTACTCAGAGCACATACAATGAGCATTAACTAATGGAGAGATTAGATGCATAGCAATTGTCCCATTATTCACTTTAGCTGTGCTGCTGCACCATTTAAAGTGCATTATTGTCGGGTGACGGTCCAAAAAGCTTGCTGTATCTGCATGCTTTCACCTGAACTAAACTCTAGGACTCTTTGTGCCTGTGACAAAGTGAAGTTTCTGAGGTGAAGCAAATAGCTTTGTTTTTGTATCGCAGGCAGCGAGCCATTTTTCCATGAGACACACACACACACACATAAGCTTCCCGTGGATCAAGATGTGATTGAACCTCGGCTTTAGGAACACAGACACTTGAACCTCGCGGGAGAGTTTCCATTGCCGTTTATTTCATCACCATTAATGGAGGTCCCATTGACTGCTGGAAAGAAAAGCTGCTAAGAATAGCTGCAGCACATCCATTTAAAACATACAAACATACCTTAAATGGTCTGAACAGGAGATAGAGCTCCCGCGGCTTAATATCCAGTGGTAGCCCACTGACAAATAGTGTTCGGACCTGAGGAAGACAAGAAAGAGATCATGTATTTTTCATTAACCTCCAGTGGTTATAAATAGCTACCTTCCATACCTGACAGTAACAGATGAGGGTATGAGGAAAAGGACACTGTACATGAGTTAAATAGTTCTCTGGGTTGGCTTGACAGTAAAAGAAAGACTTTTTAAACACTGATAGGGATGTCTTTCAGCTCAGCAAACACTCACACACACCTTTCCACAGTACATGTATTGTGTTCTCCTGCGTAATCTACAGCCTGCTGTGTTTTATGGCAATCCTCCCTTGCAGCTCTAGCCTCTGTTTTACATTTGAACTTTTCAACTTGCAACTTGGGCCGGCATTGCTAGGGAATTACAATGTATATGTAAGCAAAGAGAGACTGAAGGAATGTTTAATTGTTGCGGGTCCGTAATGAGTCAGAGAAGGTGGGAAACCACTGGGGGAGTAACATGAGAGTGGCTCCAAATGTGCTTTCAAGCTAAGAAGTTGTTGATATCATTATATGTGTTGATAGAGAAGAAAATGAATGCTGTGTGACTGCTCTAGTTGTAGTGCAGGTGAGGTTTAGGTTTGTCAGAGGGACATTTTAAGCAGTAATACCTACATTTGTGTGAGCAAATCTCTACTATTTTGAAAACACTATCGAAGGTAAACATTTGAAACTGCATATGTTGCCTACAGTCTCATAAACTCCTGCAATTGGTGAGTGAGTGGGTCTTTCAACACAACATGCAGCCACATTAGCACCAACTGCAACATTTGGTAAACAAAGACATAGCAGCGCTACAAGACACAGGTGCTGAGACGTCCTGTCACAGCTCACGAATGCAGATCTGGTTACATTTTAGAGGCGATGAAACAGAGAAATTCTATTTGTTACAGGTAATTGTTGATGTGTCTGTCCTTAATAAACGGTCACCACGGGAAATAGTTGTTAACACAAGTAATTCTTACTATAAACCACAACACGTGTCTTCTGCTAAGAGCAGCTTCATCTCTTAAGCTTTACAACACAACGAAGAAATGAAAAATCCAATAAAGTGGTAGTAAGATAACTGGGGCTGACATGAAATGATGAATTTTCAGATAATTCTATTATCTAAACAGGCACTAATCAAACCTCAAAACTGGAATCATCACCTAATTGAAGTTGGCTTGGTACAAGAATATAATTGCTTTAGTGCACAAGAGACATAAAAGTCAAGCAATGTACCATGCGCATCAAACCGACTTCCAACAACTCCACCGTAGACACCCACGTCAATGTGTGGATGAGTAATTTAATTATGTATTCAATTTTCAGATTCCATTTAAGGCTGAATCTAGAATAAAAGCGGAGGTATGCAATTACACAGAGTAGATTCAAAGCTCCCAGATTCATTAGATAGTAGATTCACAACTCGGGGGACAAAGGAACTGCTGAACTAACACTACACCTCATTCCCACATGTAACCTGATATGCAGCACTGATGCCAAAGGCAGAGCAACACACAAACAAAGGAGCTTAGCAACTGGGGGAGCAATAGCTGGAGAGTGCCAAACCGGCCATCCAGCCAACAAATCTCACCTCGCCGACTTTCTCACCTTCACTCTTATCTTATCTTATCTGAGCTGAGCTGAACCCTGCAGGGCCGTCGCTGGGCTCTGTCTCTGGCAGTTCTGTTTAAATAAGCCTCTTTTAGAGGGTCTCCTTATATGGAGTTACATGGGAACAAAGAGTCAGAACAGGATGGTATCAATCAGACACAAGCAAGGGCAGTCACTGAAAGCTGTTGAGGCTGATAAAACTAATAGTACGGCAGTAAAGAAAAAAGAGTTAGTGCTGGAACTAAAACTCCTGAAAGGTGTTTTAGGAGTGGGCAACCAAGTCACAAAGATGGGCATCAAAACTGTAGGTTTTAAATATCCTTTAGGGACTGGTTTCAGTTTCTTTGCTGGGCATGAACACAAAAAGATGCCAAAAAAACATCAGAGTCAAAAGAGCTAATGTTGGACGTCATGCTTACTTGTTCTGTTCAGAGGACAGATTTATATTTCACTCTAAAGTCTTTCTTGTTGTTTCACTTTATCGGAATCATTAAATAGAAAATACATTGACCTTTAAAACATTATTACAAGATTATACTTGTAATAATGGGGTATTTATAGATGGTTATTATGTAGACTGCAGCCTTTTTTTTAAATTGCAACTGCAACAGTAGGTTGGCGAACATCTTAAGAAAATCGTAGTCATGTAGCTCTTCTTTGTCGAGTTATCAAAGATGCCCCGTTTTTTTTTTTAAACGCCTGTCTTCAGGCATGAAGGTAAGAGACACGGAGTTGGATCTGCTGCACATGTTACGACAGAAACACACAAATAATGAGTCCTCTAAACACTCAGAACAATGGGACATTCTTGGCAGTGTTGAATCTCATTCCTGAGACTTCCTGACGTCAGCTGTTGTGATATATGAGCGGTTCGCCGTGTGTCCGGTGCTGGAGCTGACTGCACACGCTGGATACGGGATGATTCACAGGCAAATGTGTCAACAGCTCTCTCCTGCAGACATCTGCTGTTGATTACAGTATCAGTCTTTATTTATGCTGCTTTGAGACTAGCTCGAAAAGGCAGAGAGAGAGTTGTAAACACGCCGCCACCAGGTAACGTGAGGCATCAAAGTTTAATGATGTAGTAAACGAAACTGAAGGTCAAGTCGGGGTTGAGCAGATTCTGCAGATTCGTAAAAAAAAAAAAAAAATAGCTAAGATAACCCCTGTGCCACTGTTTTATTGGGTTTTAGAAGCATCGTTTTATTGGTTCTTCATGAGTCACATACCTACATTTCCATAGTGCTGAGTGGCCCGGTATGGGCTTTTGAATCATTGACCATTTATGGCGTGCTCACACACCAACAAGCAGGCAGGCTTCGATCAAAAACAGCAGTCCCTACCTACCACAAGCCAGCTGAGTACTTCACAGCCGGCTACCAGCGCGGTTCCCTGGCAACGCCTTAGCGGAGCACAGCAGTGTGTGGAGCCCCGGGCCAAAAACATCAGATCCTATTAAGGCCACTTCTGCAGCAAGTCCCAGGGGATCAATGTACCTCTAATCAGAGATCCTTGACTCCACAAGCCCCAGATGAGGTCATCACCTTATTGATACTCTATCATTGCACCTTGAAGGTTTGCTGGTGCCACCCTAAGGCTGGAGAAGGAGGGGTGAGGCGTCTGTGCTCACAACAACAACTTAAGTGGGGTATTATCTTAAAGGATAGTTTATCACAACTTAGATCTTACTTTGATTGTCTATTGTTTCCAATAGTTGTGATAACATTATGAAAGTACTAGAGATCTGGGCACTAAGACTTCCCATTATTTACTATCTTCTGCATTATTTTCCAATTGTTTTTAATAAAATGTTGGAATATGTTGAAGAATCCCAAGGTGACATGATCAAATTCCTTACCCTTAACCCTAACAGCCCCAAACCCTAGTCCACAAGGGCAAGAACAGAAAGTTGTGAAAGTTGTAAAAAAGCCAACGGTTTATTTGGAAGTACAACTGAAAGTGAGTGTAACAAAATGCAAAAACGACCAGTGTGTTAAGTTTGAACCAGGAAGTGGGCTAGATGTTTACAACTTACAATTTGGGTAATCATTTGTTTGTCACCTCCCAATAAGTTTGGCTAACACAGAGGTTTGTTCCAAACCCGTCGGACTGTCCAACTGCTTGTGCTCCTCGCCCCGTCTGACTCTGTTTAGTGATGTTGCCGTGTTCTGTGATCTCAGCAATTTACTTTAAAACCAAAATGATCCTTTAAATGGCCCAGATGAAGGAGCACCATTACAAAGGAAGATAAATTTAGGATTGAGCTGAAACATCTGGTGCTAAAAATATCAGCTCCAGGTTGTTTTTATGACTTCACTAATGAAATGTCATGTAAGGGAAAAAGTTTACTTAGGCCATGAAACTAGGAGACCAACCTTCCACTAAACAGACTTCCCACTATGTCAAGAAGCTTTAATTAACAAAGCCGAAACTGACGGCACAATAACTGACTGCAGCGCCATTCAGAACTCGCATTAAAGCGTTTCAAATTTTCTCCAGCATAGAACGCAATTTGTCAGCCATTATGAAGGCACCTTGATTTGTCTAATTAAATGACCTGGCAATTTATTCATGTGTCATTTCTATTCAGCTTGCGTTGTAGACTTACAAAATGCATTACACCTATTGCCTGAAATGCCTCATTATACTCTGTGTGACTTTCTCAGATATTTGCTCTGACTTTAATTGAGTGCTTTTTTGACCGTTCATTCTGGCTGAAATGAGGGACACGACCTTGGTGTGATGTGAGATGATTACTATGTGTTTCTTTCTCCCTTCCTGTGTGTGCGCGTGTTCTATAGCCAAGTTAATAGACAGAGGTCCTTCGGGCCAGATGTGGTAGGACACAGCACTAACCTTGAGGCGTTGATAGAGAGGGTACAGTAGCCTATTGTAGCGTGTGTGTGCATGCAACAATGCTGCTACTACCTGCATATCAAATCAGAAAAAGCTCAGAAGAAATCTTTGATTGCACGCTCACACAAGTTGCTTTCAAATCCAGTCTTGGTACGCTGTGACCGAGCTAAAATCAAAGTCTACCCATAAGCCCATGTGAGCTCAGGGCAAGTTGAGTTTTCTTGCATCAGTTGAGCGCCGCGTTATTAAAAACAGTCCAACTGACAGACTCCCACACTCCTTTGCTATCCTTGCAGTTGTCACTGCTGTGTGTTGGCATCGCTCTCCATCATCCGCACAGAGAATGTGAAGAGTGAGAGACTGCAGGCCGGGGAGACGTGTCAAACGACCATAAATGGATGACTCCGTTTGTCTGTTAATCGCCTGGGTTCAACGGGTCAAGTTTCACATTCGGAGGTCAGGAGTCGCAGGTTAGGCGCGGGTTACTGTGTGGGTCAGGGGCCACATGTGAGGTTGAGCACGCTCCGAACGTCACGACTGAACTCCGAAAGGAGTG